ATTGGATTTTATTTTTTTGAAAATTTTCTAATTCGTTCCAAATGGTGGAGGGTATTCAAAGTTCGGCCCGGCCGAACTTACTGCTTTTTTACTTGTTAGTAATTATAAAGGACTTATATTCTAACTACTCAATAAACTTACGGAGATTGCCTGTAAAATTGGTGTTATGTAGTCTTCTCAATAACGCCTCGTATCCTATCAATGATGCTCGTAACTCGCTCCATGATGTTGCACGGATAATTTGGGAAATTCTCAAGGCTTCTCCCCACAGTTGCATATCTATAACACCAAAAAGGATGTTGTGCTGTCTGCTGCTTTCTGTTGGATATAATTGCAAAATGTAGTCTATCCGCTTGATAAAAGCGCTTAAGCCCATGGTGGTTCCATGCGCGGTCAAATTTTCACACACGTAAAGTTGTTTTGTAGATATACAACAATAATTCAAATTTTACTTTTGTTACGCGGCAAATTTTCACTCGCGCATAAGTCTCTTGCGGATATGTAACAATTCTTAGTTTACTGTTAATACTCCTGAGCGGTTTGAAGTTTTACTCCCGTGTAACTTTCTTTTGCGGATAACAACCATTCGAAGTTGCACTATTGTCATCCTACAGACTGCGCCAATTAAATTTTGCCAAATATGGCATATACGGTAAGAACCGAAATGTAGTCTTAGAGTTTGTAATGTACTCGACTTTCTGAGGCAGATTATATAGGTTCACGTTTTCATATGGCCTACAGAGTATTTTATTTTTTTAAATATCATCCAAAATGTTTAGTTATTCTAATTAAATACCATGGCTAAACAGGTCAATATTTTTAATGCGTTTAATGCGTTTAATTTGCGTTTCTTCTCATTCTAACAAATGATTTACAACTTTTTCATAATGTTATGTTGACAGTATCTAAATGTCAACCCGTCATCTCCCTTGACTCTGAGTCTCAGACCAACTCCCGATAATCGCCTCCATTAGCAGATCGACGGATTTCATAACCTCTGAACGCCGCACTTTCCTTAAAAATGGGAAATTGCACTGGCCAGAATGCAGAGAGTTCGCAAATCTTTGCTCAGGGAACTATCCAACCCTTCTGATGTTCGGACTATTTAATGATGAGCTCCGGCGTACCAACCCTACTGACCCTATAGTGAGTGATCTGACAATGGAAGTTACCAGGTTGGTACAGGAGCATGATAGGATTGTAATCACTTTTAACGACGTGACGGTATCTGATCGCCAGTTTTTTGAGTTCCCCGAAAGTGATAAGGTGAAGAGTAACACTCTTCGGATAAGATATCTTCCCACCGAGGAGATACCACAACAGTTTACTATAGGTGATGTTGCAAATGTCATCTAAAACGCTAATCCGAAGCGTTGAGGAATGTCAGTGGTAACGTTGAAGAATCTTGATACGTCGGGAGTTGAGTATCTCACTTAAGTCAAATTATCTTAACCTATCGTTAGTCACCCACATAGTTCCAGAAGCCTGGAAAATGCTACTGAAGCCAGGAAAGGATTCAGCAAAGGTGAATCATACAGGCCAATTTCGATTTTGTTACCAGTATCAAAGACGCTCGAGGCTTTACTCCTCCCCAGCACCAGAGAAAGTTATCCAGTTGCAACCATCAACACGGTTTCCATCTACAACACAGTACCACAACTGCATAGCACGTCATATCCACACATATCAGTCGAGGACTCAACCAGGACAGGCCGTACCATAGAACAGTAGTGGTGGCTCTTGACTTATCAAAGGCCTTTGATATGGTCAATCATGCCACGCTATTCGAGGACGTCGAGAATATTACCCTCTGGCCGTGTTTAAAACGTTGGATAGTCAGTCGTACATAGAATTCCGGTACAAGAAGTACAAGTCTCGAAGAGTGAAACAAGGAGCTCTCCAAGGTGGGTGATATCTCCGGAACTTTTAAAACTCTTTCTTTCCGGAATTTCGCGCCCTACAGACGGCATCGAGGTCGTAACTTATGCTGATCATGGCTTCCTTTTGACCCGGGCCCGTTGATGACATATGTTTCAGGGTGAACAGCTATCTCACGAAGCTTGTCACCTTCTTCCATGCGAGGAATTTGAAAATATTCGCCACCAAATCACGGCCACACTATTTACCACATGGACTGCGGAGATGAGAACACAGCTGAATAATCAGGTCAAGGGGCACACAATTCCGACCACTAACTACGCCGAAATCATTGGTGTCTTCGATAAATTGAAACGTAGTAACAAGGCGCTAGCCGGCAGCACTTGAGTCACGGATAAGGAAGCCTTGCTGGCCTCTTATAATGCGATAGGTGGGTCTGTGGTTAGCTATGCGGCACCAGTGTGGTTTGCGAATAGGAGCGCAACGCAATGGAAAAGTATTCAGACCTGCCAGAATGTCGCCTTGAGAACTGCTAAAGGATGCCTTCTCATGACCATTTACATAAGGAGACGAAGGTTCATCCCTTACTTCAGCATAATCATATGCTTTCGTTGCAGTACCTGCTTGGGTGTTATCGGGGGAGTAATCCAAACCTTAATATGGTGAACTCCCCAACCCAGGCATGTCAGGAAGAACCTTGCATAATCTAGAGATAGAGAGAGGTCCAACGGTATGAGGGAGGCTCTAGATCAGGAAGCCTATCAAGCGTGTCTGAACAGCATTCATACTGATTTAATCCCTGATATAGTTAACCATTACAGTATGAAAGCCATCCTCGGATTCTGCCCCCATTCATTGTAGCTGCAGTACGTCGAATGCCGAGGAAAACCAGGGTAGTTTTGGCCCAACTACGTTCGTAAAAGTGCAGCCGTCTCAAGTCGTATTGGGCACAAATTGATGAATATGTGCGGAACGTCTGCCCAGCGTGCTATACAGGTCCGCGCAATACGCTGCATCTTTTCAACTGTCCTGACATACCTACCCAACTCCGTCCAGAAGATCAATGGCTACAGCCCATAAAGGTGTCAGAATTCCTAAGCCTGGACATCCAAAATGAACCAGAGTAGCAGTTATTAAACAATCGCAACATACAAAACTGTTACAACAACAACTAAACTCAGTTTATGTACTACATGTCTATATACACTTGCGCTTGTAAAAAATCGAATTGTTCCATTCAATCAATGTAAATAATTGTGTGTCACTTGCCATGCGTAAACAGTTATGGGCGAATTTAAAAATTAGTTTGAAAATTATAAACAAATAATCGAAACAAAAACTTACAAAGGTTTTTGGCTCTTGTATCCTGATTAAGACAACAAAACATTTTCGGGAGGTGGGTCCACACTTCCCGAAATATAGGGTTCCAAGCGGGCAACGGCCGAGGCCAGGCTACTTTAAAAACCTTTGGTTCGCGAAGCAGGCGTTTGACATAACCCAGAGAAGAAAATCTCAACTCCTTCGTTTTGGCACTTTTGGACCCTATGTTTCGGGAAGTATGGACCCACCTCCCGAAAATGTTTTGTTGTTGTAAACAGGGTATTTTTGGAAATTTGGAACCCTATATATCAAGAAGTGTTGGTTTCCTAAATATAAACAAGTTAAAAAAGCAGCCAGGCCAGGCCGAACTTTTAATACCCTCCATTATTTCAAAAGAACTCGAAAAATTTCAAAAATACTTAGAAAACTACCACTTAAATAAAAACCGTTATATAGGGACTATACGAAGGCGTAGACCTGCATACGATTTTTTTAATTTTATGTCATAGACTGTAGTGCCCATTACGAACTTCAAATACGAAATTCGAAACCATTCCAGTGAATAATGTTGCTGAAATCGTCAAAATACCGACTATCGGGAGGTACCGTTATATGGGGACTATGCGAAGACGTGGGCCTACATACGAATTTTTTTGCAAAAAGTTAAAGTACCCATTAAGTATGAAATTCGAAATAATTCCGGTAAATAATGTCGCTAAAACCATGAAAATATCAAATATCGGGAGGTACTGTTGTATGGGGGCTATACGTAGACTTGAACCTGCATTCAAAAATTTATGTCATAGGCTGTAGCATGGTACAATGAATTCAAGGTAGGGCAGAACTACCATATGATTAAAATTTTTTTATTTTTCTGGATTAATATGTCAACTTTATTTGCTTATGTGTGTGTCTTCTTTTCAATAATAAAAAATGGTTCAGAAAATATTCAAATTCGGGTATTTTCAAAATGCTTATTGCAACGAATGCATCGACAAAATCTACAGTTTTTGTCGCGAAATAAACCATAAGAGATATATAGAACATGATATTGAAAAGAAATTTAGACCATTCAATCAGTTTTCGCGGTTTTAAATTATTTATTCAAAATCAATGCAACAAGTTGTTTGCTTTTTTATTGTTTTCATAGCAATTCTGACATTACAAGCCAAACAGGTAGACCTCTATACTTGCAATTTTTTCAAAGTTGACCTACCTTCTCTTCATTGTACCATGGGCTGTAGTACCCACTACGAACTTTAAATACGAAATTTGAATCGATTCTGGTGAATAATGTTGCTGAAATCATCAAAATACCGACAGTCGGGAGTTACCGCTATATAGGGACTATACGAAAACGTGGACTTGCATACACAAATGTTTGTTATAAGCTGTAGTACACATTATAATAAGTCCTGTAGTACCCATCAAATACGAAATTTGAAATAATTCCGGTAAAAATGTCACTAAAATCATGAAAATACAGAATATCGGGAGGTACCGTTCTATGGGGGCTATACGAAAAAGTGTACCGACATGGCCCATTTACGAACATAACCTGCCTACTGGTAAACTATGCATGTATGCAAAATTTTAGCCTTTCATCTCAATTCGTTTGAAAGATAGTGTGGTTACAACAGACAGACAGACGGACACACAGACAGAAAGACGGACATGGCTAAATCGTCTTAGAATTTTACGCTTACCTCAGTTTATGCGGTTATCTGTATTATTGTGCCATTTGTAAATTGAAGGAAAATTTGATTTATTTTAACGCCGTTCAAAAAATTACCGTGGAACTCCGGGTTTATTAATTCTAAGGTAATTGCGTATAGCTTGTTATTTCCATTGGCTTCGTGTCAAATTTTAATTAATTGTTAATATAATCTAAATTAACATGGCTGAGGAATTTGAACCCATGGAACCAAGTTTAAAAAATGTTATTGATCAGACTTCTCTAAAGTGGATTTTTGTGGGTGGAAAGGGAGGCGTTGGTAAAACAACATGCAGGTATGTTAATGGATTTACAAAATTCAGATAACTAATTGTAAATTTGATTAATAGCTGCAGTTTGGCTGTCCAAATGGCAAAAGTTAGGGAATCCGTCTTGATTATATCCACGGATCCAGCCCACAACATTTCCGATGCCTTTGATCAAAAATTTACCAAAGTTCCAACAAAGGTATGGTTACTGTAATGCATTCATAATATACGTGTCACTCAAAATTTAAATTGGCAAAGGTCAATGGATTTACTAACCTTTTTGCAATGGAAATTGACCCGAATGCTGGTCTTAACGAATTACCAGATGAATACTTTGAGGGAGATAACGAAGCTTTACGACTCAGCAAAGGATTCCTTCATGAAGTGGTTGGAGCTCTTCCGGGCATCGATGAAGCTATGAGTTATGCTGAAGTTATGAAGTAAGTTTTTATGTCCCTAAATAGTTGTCCACGATTTCCGATAATATACAAATTTTTTCGTCGTAAGACTTGTTAAAGCAATGAACTTTTCAGTTGTAATATTCGACACGGCCCCCACAGGACACACTTTGCGATTATTATCTTTTCCTCAAGTAGTGGAGAAAGGCTTGGGTAAAATGCAGAGGTTAAAACTGAAAATAAGTCCTTTTATAACACAGTTTGGAAGTCTGTTGGGAATGCCCGTAAATGCCGACTCGCTGACGCAAAAGCTTGACGAGATGTTGAAAGTCATACGACAGGTTAACGAACAATTTCGTGACCCCGTAAGTTTAACAGAATATTTAATTTCCTATTAGTAATCATTATTTTAAAAAGGATCAAACTACTTTTGTATGTGTATGCATTGCGGAGTTCTTATCATTATATGAAACAGAAAGATTGGTCCAAGAGCTTACGAAATGTGGTATTGACACACACAATATCATAGTTAATCAATTATTGTTTATGAAACAGAATCAACAACCATGTGCAATGTGTGCATCCAGATATAAGGTTAGTAACAATCGGCTTTCCATTAATTTTTAATTGCAAGTATCTTCGTTCTAGATCCAAGAAAAGTATTTAGACCAGATAGCTGATCTTTATGAAGACTTTCATGTAACAAAATTGCCCTTATTGGAAAAGGAGGTGCGAGGAGTAGAAAATATAAAAAACTTCTCTGAAAACCTTATGAAACCGTATGAAACCAACTAGAATCAACTTATATTTTTTTAAAATTCTTTAATAATATTGTAACATTTTATTATAATATGTTGGCGCTAGTAAGTTGTTTCAAATATTTGTACTCATTTTTTGTATGGTTTCTGTTGATTATTGGACTAATTTTTTATTTGGCTCGAGGTCAGTAAATATATTTCTTTCAGCAACGACGATTATCATCAGAGATTGAAAGTCAAAAGTTTTAGCTTCTTAAGATTCCGATCGATTTGGTGAACAACGAAAATCTCATTCTTCAGTGTAAATATTGCAACATTGGAATGGAAGAACGGAATCAAAACAAACCATGTGAGAAGAAAAGATAAAAAAGTGTAAAATGTGAAATATATTCTATTTACAAAAAGTTTTTGTGCGGAAAGAAAATTAATTTGGTAAATTTTTACACAATGCCGGGAGTTTCGATAGCTTCTGTAATTGAAGTTCAAAGTAATTACCACAGTACTGAAAAAATACGCCGGAGGAAATTTAGAGATGCTTCGGACTCCTTGTCCCACCCCAGTGCAGTGTGAACATTTTAATAACAAGTTTAGTTTTAACTTATAAATAAATTCCTGTACTTGCCCAAAAAATCGCGTCAAATGTGAAATTTGAAAATTTTCATTTTGACTTTTGAAATGTACAATGTTTTATATTGCATAATTTGTTTCCATCCATTTTGACTTACTATTTTCAAATGTACATTTGTAGTTTTTATACCCTCCACCATACTATGGAGGGTATATTAACTTTGTCATTCCGTTTGTAACTCCTCGAAATACTCATATCAGACCCAACAAAGTATATATATTCTTGATCAGCGTAAAATTCTAAGTCGATTTAGCGATGTCCGTCTGTCTGTCTGTCCGTCTGTCTGTCTGTCTGTTGTAATCACGCTATCTTTCGAATGAATTGAGATAGGTGGCTAAAATTTTGCACACATGTTTATTTTTCCAGTAGGCAGGTTAAGTTCGTAAATGGGCCATGTAGGTCCACGTTTTCATATAGCCCCCATATAAAGGTACCTCCCTATATTCGGTATTTTGATGATTTTAGCGACATTATTCACGGGAATTGTTTCAAATTTGGTATTTGAAGTTCAAAATGGATACTACACCCTAAGACGGAAAATTATCCGTGCAGGTCCACGTCTTCGTATAGGCCCCATATAACGGTACCTCCCGATACTCGGTATTTTGATGATTTTAGCGACATTATTCACGGGAATTGTTTCAAATTTGGTATTTGAAGTTCAAAATGGATACTACACCCTAAGGCAGAAAATTGTCTGTGCAGGTCCACGTCTTCATATAGCCCCCATATAACGGTACCTCCCTATATTCGGTATTTTGATGATTTTAGCGACATTATTCACCGGAATTGTTTTAAAATTGGTATTTGAAGTTCGTTATGGGAACTACAGTCTGTGACAGAAAATTGTCTGTGCGGGTCCAGGTCTTCGTATAGCCCCCATATAACGGTACCTCCCTATATTCGGTATTTTGATGATTTTAGCTACATTATTCACCGTTTATTTCAAGTTTCGAATTTGAATATGGTAATGGCCTATGAGAAACAATGCCTATGTATGTCCACGTCGTATAGACCCCAAAATAACGGCTATATTCGGTATTTTTAAAATTTTAACAGAATTTTTTAAGGATTTTATTTTTTGAAAATTTTCAAATTCGTTGCAAATGGTGGAGGGTATTAAAAGTTCGGCCCGGCCGAACTTACTGCTTTTTAACTTGTTTTCTTTCTGAGTTCTAATCATGTGTAGCATAGAGAGACAATGACCAAAACTGTTATTTGTAGATTTTATGTATTTATTGGGTGAGTGGAGATAATAAGCTATGAAAACAAATCAATATTTTACCAATTACGCACGGTGTTTTTTTTCGATTTGATTATTTTATTTATTCTATTTCTAGAACAGTGTTGGCTTGTTTGATCAGGATACCGTAGTATTTTGTTGTTGCAAAATGGTCAGGCTTTATCCCTTTATTGTTGTTTTTTATAAAAACAACGTTTGTTTATTAGTGGAGAACGATGGTAATGTTTACCAGGGTTTAAGGCAGGGAATACCTAGGTTTCGGAAAGATCTAACAATCCTCATTAGTTCCCTTGTTTTTTTGTCTGGGATATTCTCCCCAGAAGTTATTTAAAAAAATAACTTCTATGACAAAAAAAAAAAAAAAACATTTTTTTACCCAAGTGACGAGATCGTAAGCTCAATAGAAGAGAAACCAACGAATTAAATATTCAGGTTGAACGAAAGCATAACAAGTGGAGAAAGATGTAAATGTTTATAAGTGCGGTTGTAAGATTTAGAAGACTTTCTAAAAGAATTTTAGTTTTATTTAATTCTAAGTAGCGAATTAGTTGGTGGCGAAACTGAATAGATATATTTAACGCGGTCACACCAAACTTAAACGATAATTACTTTTTTAAATTCGCTAATAAATCACAAAAAATAACTAAAATCGGGGGAAAATTTTTCAATGGAATCGAATATCAAAGATAAAGTACATTCTATTAGAAAACTTCGTAAGGACCTTTTAGCATTTGCTGTAAAAAATCAGCGAACAAGTTGAAGATTTTTTTCCATTTTGGCTTATCATATTGAATTCAAACGTTTTTTTTTTTTGAACAAAATAAAGATTTATTATTACTACGCTTATAACTCAAGAACGGCGTGACGGATATTAATAATTCATACAATATCGGAATTGTATCTTGGCAAAAAAAATGCGTGAAAATGTAATAAAAATAGTTGTGTTCCAGAACCTAGAAATTAGTACTAATTCTGCTACAACGCGTTCCCGTACTCCAAAAACTAGCAAAACTTGCAGCTCTCTCGAGAAGAAAATGGGCTGAGTGGTGCACATTTCTGCTTGTTTTAGCTACATGAATTTGGCCGAGCAGAAATGTGCATATTTTAAATTTGACATTTAATTGGCAGGGCTAATAAGGTTGAAAAATGTATTGATACAATTCAATAAAGAAAATGATCAACTTGAAAACTAAAGGAAAAACTTATATTTGTCGTGCAAAAAAAAAGAGAATATATGAAGCAACTGATGGATGATTCCAGCAGTGAAGAGTACTGGCTGAATGAGGAATCAGATTATTAATTATTATTATAAATTAATAATTTTAACTTATCGTCTTCAATACTCATTTTTTAAATGTTGGCGCCCTTTTCAGTAAGGTTTCACCAGTCCGATTTAGGCTGTTTACTTTTGGAATTTTGACATTTTATCGCATTTCTGCTAATTTTCCGTTCCCTTATTTTTTGAGCAAACCTAAATGAGAATGACATTTCGAACTGTTCTCTCTTCTGCTAGTTTTACTACTAAAAAGTACTGGAACACAACTTATGTTTGTCGCAAATTATCATTTAAGACGTTTTGATATACCTTTGACATACATCTGTTTTGCGAACATTGTTCACCAATTTAAGTGTTGTCAATGTTCTTGTACAAAATTATTCTAACGCAAGCCATACATGATACAACTGGTTGTATAACTGGGAGAGGTTGTATTCCAGATTGTATTGTTTGTGGCCCGGTTGTACGAAGTTGTGTCTCGGTTGTACAAAAAATCAAATTTTTTTGATATATTGGCATGTTGTACCAACCGATTGTAACGTTTGTGGACATGTCACATACAATTTCATTTTGTGTTTATTTTTGAAGAGGTAACACCATTGTTTCGCATATCAAAACGATACGAAATCCAATCAAATGTGTGATTTTAATGTATATAAGCCAAATTTTCCATTAAACCGCGAATATTTTTAATCCTGGCGAAATCACAAATAGACGAAGAGGTCAATTTTGACCGTTACGTAAATACCGATAGTAAATATATCGTATATATATAGCGATATATATATAATGTTTATATAAAAAGGAAGGGGATGTTAGCTAGAATGCATATAGCTCATGAAAATTTTGTCAATTCAAAATGCCCTCTTGGCATAAAAGAATAAAATCTAAAAAAATCGCATAAAAAAGTGTCAATAATGATGTTAATATAGATTTTGTAGTATTTTGTGATATTATATTATTTTTTTCATAATTCTTATCGCATGCGGGGTTATTCTATGCAGATTGCAATTATCGCTAGGCCTAGGCCTATTGTTCTCAAAGATGTCCGCAATATATTTAGAGGTTATAATGGACCAACAACAAAAAATGTTCCTGTTATATATCCCGGTCTGCTAGTAAAACAACTGTTGCCTTCAGGTAACTCATAACAACTGAGTGATGGTGTTTATTACATATGCTTACATCGATAGTAGTTTAGTAGTTACTGAATACGTAACGTATACAACACCTCTCCCCTCTCTTATAACAAAAATAATAAAATGAATTCAATAAAATACTATTAGCTAAAAACTCCGAACACTAATACCTTTCAATCCGTATCGATAACATAATCATTTAGTCGATGAGGTCGCCGTATATTCCTCCTAGGATTCGTTCTTATGTTGACTGCCTCGCCATTCCCTGCTGGCTCTTCAAATCCGATGAATGCTGACCCCGGAGAACTTGGGGGCGTTGCGAAGGACTGATCTCGATTGTCTGACATCACGCATTCGTCTGTTGCTTCTCGTTCCGCATTACTCATACTTGTAGGGTTCTCTCTCTTCTCCAAAGTCAAATCTGATGGCTCATAACTAGCACTATGTGTTTCCTCAACTTCGTTATCCAGCATTACTCTGCCATTAATCTTTCTCAATTGATCAATGTGTCTGTTCCAACACCTACCATCTTCCAGCCTCACTTTGTAATGCAAATCACCAATTCTCTCTCTTACTATTCCAGGCTTCCACTTAAGCTTATCCATATAATCCCGAGCCATTACAGCGTCTCCTACTGCTAACTCTCTTGTAGTTTTTTGTCTTTCGGGGTCTCGGACTTCATTGTTGGGCAGTAGGAGGTCCAATCTGCTTTGTATTTGTCGCCCAAACATTGTCATAGCTGGTGATTTATTCGTGACCGGGTGAATTGCTCGTCGATATGCCAATAAAATTTGATAAATTTTCCGCTGTAACTCCTCCTTACGAGGCATTGCCTTCAACTTGGTCTTGAAAGTTTGTATAAAACGTTCTGCTTGACCATTCGTTGCAGGGTGGTACGGTGCCCCCAACTTATGCATGATACCATTTTGTTTTAAAAACTCTTGAAATTTCGCGCTTTTGAACTGCGTCCCGTGGTCGCTGACTAGAATGTTTGGTATTCCAAATTGCGCAAATATACTTCTACATACTTCGATTGTTGTCTCCGTGGTAATGTCTCGAACTATCCTTACCTCCGGCCATTTACTAAAAGCATCCACCAGTACAAAAAAATATTTGCCCAAAAAGGGACCAGCGTAATCCACATGCACCCTTTCGAAAACTTTCTTCGGAGGTAACCAGCAATGAACCGGTTCTTTCTTTACATCTGGTCGCCCGATCTGTCCTTTTCAATGTCGCTTTTTCAATGTCCTTATCTAAATTTTTCCACCAACAATACGCTCTGGCAAGTGACTTCATTTTTGATACACCAAAATGTCCCGAATGTAATTCTTGTATTATTCTAGTTCTCAGCGGTTTTGGCACATACACTCTTATGCCTCTTAATAAGCATCCTTGTTGCAAGCTAAATTCGGATGGGTCGATTCCAAAACTGTCGGCAGGATCACATTTCCGGCCATATGACAAACTGTCTACTAAACGTCTTACTTCCGCATCTTTTTTTGTGGCTTGTCCTAATTCCTTGACGGTGATTGGCAAATTCTCAATTAATTCCATTTCAATTTGATCAATCTCGCTGATTGTTTTTCTGCATTCATTTACAGGAAGCCTCGATAGCGCATCTGCATTCCCATTCTCCTTAGATTTACGCAAACGAATCTTGTAATCAAAAGATTCCAGGAATACTGCGTAATGTTGCATACGCGTTGCAGACAATACCGGTAATCCCTTGTCAGGCGCAAAAATCTGTGATATTGCTTTATTGTCGGTAATTAAAGTAAATTCCCTTCCATATACATATTGGAAAAACTTTTTTACCCCGAATATTACTGCGTATGCCTCCTTGTCTACTTGGCTATACCGTCTCTGTGTTGCATTTAAAGTTTGCGATGCAAACTGTATAGGTCTTTCCGTTCCATCGCCAAATTCGTGACTCAATACGGCTCCCACACCCGTAGGGCTCGCATCCACTGCCAATGTTAATTTTTTTCTTGGATCATAATGTGTCAGCACCACCTCTGATCCCACTTGTCTCTTTACTTCTTCGAAAGCCCATTTACATTTAGCATCAAAATTAAATGGAACTTCTTTGTGCAGTAATCGATTTAGAGGGTAAACTATAGAGCTCAAATTTTTTATAAAACGACCATAATAATTCACTAGTCCCAAAAATGATCGAACTTCGTCCTTGGTTGCCGGATATCTCATTTCTTGAATAGCCTTAATCTTGGCTGGTATCTTACGAATTCCTTGTCGATCAATCACATAACCACAATACTCAATACTCTCTCGCAGAAATTCCGACTTAGCAAGATTTATTCGCATATTGTATCGGTCTAATCTTTTTAACACCTCTTCTAACCGGTCTAAGTGTGTCCTCTCATCCTTGGCTGTTATTTTAATGTCATCCAGGAACACCTTAACACCCGGTATATCCGCTAATAACTGCTCCATTAATCTTTGCCACTGAGACGGGGCGCTAGCAACGCCAAACATTAATCTTGTTGGTTGAAATAATCCTTTGTGTGTGCTCAGGGTTAAGAACTTTTGGTCATCTGGATGTACTTCTAACTGCAGATATGCCTTGGACAAGTCAATCTTCGAATATTTTTCACCGCCTGCCATTGTACTAAACAATTCGTCGACTGTAGGCAATGGGTGCTTGTCCACCACTAAGACCGGATTGATCGTTATCTTGTAGTCTCCACAAATTCGTATCTTGTCATCTTTCTTTCTGACCACCACGATTGGTGTAGCCCACTCGCTACGTTCCACTTTTTCCAATAATCCAGCTTTTACTTGGTCATCTAATTCATCTTCCACTCTCTGCAACAGTGGAAAAGGTACTCGTCGCGCCTTCATACATTTCGGGACAGCATCGGTTTTAATATTCAAACGCGCCTGAAACCCCCTAATTTTGCCCACTGACTTCGAAAATAAATTTGGATATTTCTCCAAGATACTCCTTAACTGACCTTCCAAATTCGCCGACTCCTGAATTTTGTTTACGCTTACCGATGACACACTCTTTCCTTTTAACATCTTCAGCCAGTCCAATTTAACTAACCGCAGCCACTCTCTTCCCAGCAATGGTTTCCGATTGGCCCGTACTAAATACATTTTGACTTTTGTTATGTCTTTGGCTCTTACTTTCACCCATATGTATCCCGCGCAATCTATAGGCGTCTTGCAATAACTATAGAGTTCCAAATCTGGTTCATGAATTCGTATTTTCTTCGAAAAATATTTGTACGCATCGGCAAGACTTATGATGGTGACCGGCGCTCCCGTGTCAACTTCAAATGTGATATTACGATCATTTACTTCCAATGTACATAGAATTTTATCCCGTATGCTGGGGCTCTGTCCATTACTTTCCATCTTACACACTTCTTGCTCTGAGTCCTCCTTTCCACTGACTTCGCCGTCAGATATTTGTTTCATTGTAGATCTTGCTTTAAAACACACACGCCTTAAGTGGCCTCTCTTTCTGCAAAAATGGCGCTGAATGGTGCACATTTCTGCTTGTTTAAGCTACATAAATTTGGCCGAGCAGAAATGTGCATATTGTAAATTTGACATTTAATTGGCAGGGCTAACAAGGTTGAAAAATGTATTGATACATTTCAATAAAGAAAATGATTAACTTGAAAACTAAAGGAAAAACTAATATTTGTCGTGCAAAAAACAAAAAGAGAAAATATGGAGCAACTGATGTATTCACTTTTGGATGATTCCAGCAGTGAAGAGGACTGGCTGAATGAGGAATCTGATTAGTAATTATTATTATAAATTATTAATTTTAACTTATCGTCTTCAATACTCATTTTTTAAATGTTGGCGCCCTTTTCAGTAAGGTTTCACCAGTCCGGTTTAGGCTGTTTACTTTTGGAACTTTGAATTTTGACATTTTATCGCATTTCTGCTAATTTTCCGTTCCCTTATTTTTTGAGCAAACCTAAATGGGAATGACATTTCGAACTGTTCTCTCTTCTGCTAGTTTTACTACTAAAAAAGTACTGGAACACAACTTTAGCTACATGAATTTGGCCGAGCAGAAATGTGCAAATTGTAAATTTGACATTTAATTGGTAGGGCTAACAAGGTTGAAAAATGTATTGATACATTTCAATGTTCGCGCGTCACAACAAATGTAAAGAAAAGAGATAAACTTAAAAACTAAAGTAAAACTAATATTTGTCGTACAAAAAACAAAAGGAGGAAATATGGAGCAACTGATGTATTCACTTTTGGATGATTCCAGTAGTGAAGAGGACTGCCTGAAAGAGGAATCAGACGAAGAAAACGTATTGGAAAACAGTGCAAAATTAGGTAAATTGAAAAATTAAGCTTAAAATCAAAGATGTTCGCTTATTACTGCGAACATTTTCTTTTTATTTTTTAGGTTGGCTGTCTTCCCAACTTGTGGCATTAAGTCTTCTAGCAGACTTATAGTACGTTTATATATATGAGGGTTAACCCACTGGATTTGGATTTAAATTGTCAAATCCATTACTTTTACTTCAAATAAATCCTCTCAAAGAAGGTTAACCCTACAAAAAGTTTTAACGTAAACATGGCATTAACATTAACAAACATGTCAGTTTCTCCGGGGTGGGGATTTGATAAAACTCCTAAAAAAACAAATTTCTAAATAAACAGCATTCAAAAATAATTATTAATTTGAACTTATTTTCAATACTCATTTTTTTAAACTTTGGCGTCCATTTCAGTAAGGTTTCACCAGTCCGATTTAGACTGTTTTCTTTTGGAATTTTGAATGTTGACATTTTATCGCATATCTACTAATTTCCGTTCCCTTATTTTTTGAGCACACCTAAATGAGAATTACATTTCGTACTGTTCTCTCTTCTGCTAGTTTTACTGCTAAAAAAGTACTGGAACACAACTAATGTGGATTAAATTTTTTGGCGTGCATTTTTTAAATTTGACACACTGAAGTGCTCATATTTTATTATTTTGAATTCTGAATTAATAATATTAAAAATGAATTGAGTGCGCAATACGATGTTAAATGGCGATCTTTCATGTCTATAATTGGCATCTAGCTTTCAACTCCAGGATCTACATCGCGCTTCCAATCCCACGGCAGCGGTTTCTACGATACCGGATTGACCCGAAACGACAAGATCCCAGTTTCGGCCAGCGGCTGCCAACCCAGTATGTACAGGGCGGACAAACATGTACATACCGGCTGCCAACCCAGTATGTACATGTTTGTCCGCCCTCCTGGGGAAGACAAAAACGCTAAGGCTCAGTCAGGGGAGTATTCCTTCTGGCTTTGGAGATGACTCACCACTTTCGGATGAGGAACTGGACATCACGGTCATTTCCTCGTCTCAAAGTGGTAAGTCATCTCAACAAGCCACCAAGAACACTCCCAGCGAGACTTGCGCGGAGTCCAAAACCCAGGAGGGAATAACGTCGGTCACTTCCGATGCCACCAGCCTCGATCGGCAAGATGCCATCATTGTAGGCACTGGCGGGGATCCTGCCAGAAACCCGACCTCTCGTGATGGCGGCGACCCAAAAGAGGTGAAAGCAAAGCGGGGATATAAAAGGTCGGTAAATTACTGCAATTTATCGGCAAAGACCCCGCACAGATAACGGAGAGAGAGAGGATTCTGATCAAGATGAACCTCAAGGTATTTGTTAAGTTCGCACGGAACCACCCGCACTTACCGAGCTGTTCTCTAAACCAGAATCTTCTACCTCTCCTACAATCTGCTATCAGCAGTAGGATAAACCAACCTGTGGTTCAACCCTCTGCTGAGGGCCCTGCGGAGGTCAGCAATTCCATCGCTACTAACAAGACCACCACGGTCATTGTTCAAGAGGCGACGGCCAATGCCGACACTGCTGGGTCGAATCCACCTGCCAAAAAGCGCGGGAAAAATAAGGCCAAGAAGCCGAAGCCCACTGTAGCCGAAGTCCTTGCAGTTCCACCGGAGGCCGATACCTCTTCACGCCCAGCGTTGAAAAGGGGTCGGTCTACGGAAGAACCACATCCTGAGGCCAAAAGGCATCCAAGGCCCCGGCTTCTCAGCCTTTGCCCACTCCGTCCGCTAGCAAGCCAGTCGCGACTAAACCTCCCCCACCAGCCCCTTCAAGCTCTAAGCCTGATAAGGTTCACAAGGGAGAGGTCAAGTCACAAACGGCAGGCCAAACAGGACGGAAGAGGAAATACTCGCAAACTATCTACCCGGATAATCTTCCTGTAGCAATCATCGACAAGGCTGAACCGAAAGGTAAAATCAGCGACAGTCGATGGTTGCTATTCGCAGATCGTCTGAGAGAGCTTGTCTTCACGGGAGAGGGTGACCCACGAAGTATGCAGTTCGGCAGTGCAACCCTTTACAAAGGCGTGAAAGTAATGTGCTGCGAGAACCAGGAATCTAAGGATTACCTGGTCACCGCAGTATCTGGCTTTCGCAATCTCTGGTAGGGATGTGATCTGGCGGCTGTATCCTTAAAGGACATCCCCTGCCGTAAGGTATTGACAGCTTGGGTGCCACCACCATCCGTGGATCCGGCACGCATCCTGACAATACTGGGCAAGCAAAACCCCAACCTCAAGACGGACAACTGGCGTCTTGTCAGTTCAAACACTGTGGGAGGGGGCCTGGTCTTCAAGGTATCTGTGGATACGGATGGCCAGGAATACCTTCAAGCTCGTTGGGGAAAACTGCATTTCGGCGCTGGATGGATCCGTTTCCGTCTAACGCCGTTGCATTAGGTGGAAGAAAACAGCAGCTACTTAGCATCATGTAGATTAATCTGCATCACTGCATCATTGGAAGCACATCAAACCACTTTGTTTGCTGATTGCTTGCCATTATCGCAGCCTTAAGCTGCCGATGAAACCTCTCAACCATGCCATTTGCTTGAGGGTGATATGCTGAAGTAGTAATTCTGTGACTACCAAGTAAATTTGTCAATTCTGTAAACATTTTTGACGTGAATATCCATCAGCGGATTGCTTCAGGCCAACGTGTGAACCTATCAATTACGGTTAACAGATAACGATGGTTGCGTGACGGTGGCAATGGACCTACAATATCGACGTGTATATGTTCAAACCTACCCTTCGGAATATCAATTTTTGTCACTGGCGATTTTGTATGCCTAGTAATCTTCGATTTCTGACAACTTATACACTCCTTTGCCCAAACGTTTATTTCCTTGCTCATGCCTGGCCAATAATACCTCTTACAAATCATCCGACGGGTACCTCTAACACCTGGGTGGGAAACAGAATGCATCTTATCGAATATAATTCTACGCATCGCTAGTGGTATGTATGGTCGCGGTGTCCCTTGCGACACTTCGCACCAAACATTGACGTTAAATAACGGAATTTCAATCAACTTCAAATTATGATATTTCTCCTTGTTTCGTGTAACCTCTGCCAGATTGTCATCTTTTTGCTGCTCGGCACACAATAATTGTAAATTCAAATCGTACCTATTCAAGGCACCTATATCAAATGTCCTTGAAAGCGTATCAGCTACTACGTTGGAGGTCCCCCGCACATATTGAATATCATTCGTAAATTGGGACTTGGGTTTTTGACTTCAAAACACGTGTCAATGGCTTATGGTCAGTATACACAGTATAACATCTTCCTTCAAGCATATAGCGAAAATGTTTTATATTGTCATGAATCGCCAGTAACTCGCGATCAAACGCACTATACTTTGCTTCTGTATCGGACAATTTCCTTGGGAAGAATGCTAAAGGCTCCGTAACACTACCACGTTCTTGTTGTAAAACCCCTCCTATGGCAGTGCCTGATGCATCGACCGTCAATATTAGTCTCGATTTACCATCAAAATTACTCAACATTATTCGTGATGCGAAAGCTTTCTTTATGTCGACGAATGCTTTCTCAGCTCTATCATCCCACGTAATAATTTTCTTCTTATTATTCAATGCATTATTTATCATATCATGTATAGGACTAGACAATTCCGCCAATCCGGAAATATACCTGTGATAATAATTGATCATACCCATGAATTTCTGCATTAATTTAACTGTATTTGGTTTCTCAAAATCGCGAATGGCAGAGACCTTCTCGTCTGGTGGCCTAATTCCCTCTTCTGAAACATTGTGTCCTAAAAAATCGACATTTGTTGCTCCGAATACACATTGCCTGGCTTCACGAGGCGACGGCCAATGCCGACACTGCTGGGTCGAATCCACCTGCCAAAAAGCGCGGGAAAAATAAGGCCAAGAAGCCGAAGCCCACTGTAGCCGAAGTCCTTGCAGTTCCACCGGAGGCCGATACCTCTTCACGCCCAGCGTTGAAAAGGGGTCGGTCTACGGAAGAACCACATCCTGAGGCCAAAAGGCATCCAAGGCCCCGGCTTCTCAGCCTTTGCCCACTCCGTCCGCTAGCAAGCCAGTCGCGACTAAACCTCCCCCACCAGCCCCTTCAAGCTCTAAGCCTGATAAGGTTCACAAGGGAGAGGTCAAGTCACAAACGGCAGGCCAAACAGGACGGAAGAGGAAATACTCGCAAACTATCTACCCGGATAATCTTCCTGTAGCAATCATCGACAAGGCTGAACCGGAAGGTAAAATCAGCGACAGTCGATGGTTGCTATTCGAAGATCGTCTGAGAGAGCTTGTCTTCACGGGAGAGGGTGACCCACGAAGTATGCAGTTCGGCAATGCAACCCTTTACAAAGGCGTGAAAGTAATGTGCTGCGAGAACCAGGAATCTAAGGATTACCTGGTCACCGCAGTATCTGGCTTTCGCGATCTCTGGCAGGGATGTGATCTGGCGGCTGTATCCTTGAAGGACATCCCCTGCCGTAAGGTATTGACAGCTTGGGTGCCACCACCATCCGTGGATCCGGCACGCATCCTGACAATACTGGGCAAGCAAAACTCCAACCTCAAGACGGACAACTGGCGTCTTGTCAGTTCAAACACTGAGGGAGGGGGCCTGGTCATCAAGGTATCTATGGATACGGATGGCCAGGAATACCTTCAAGCTCGTGGGGGAAAACTGCATTTCGGCGCTGGATGGATCCGTTTCCGTCTAACGCCGTTGCATTAGGTGGAAGAAAACAGCAGCTACTTAGCATCATGCAGATTAATCTGCATCACTGCATCATTGGAAGCACATCAAACCACTTTGTTTGCTGATTGCTTGCCATTATCGCAGCCTTAAGCTGCCGATGAAACCTCTCAACCATGCCATTTGCTTGAGGGTGATATGCTGAAGTAGTAATTCTGTGACTACCAAGTAAATTTGTCAATTCTGTAAACATTTTTGACGTGAATTGAGTACCTCTGTCAGTTGTTATTCTGAGAGGCACCCCAAAACGAGAAACGTATTTAGTAAATAATACCCGAGCTACTGTTTCAGCCGAAATATCCATCAGCGGATATGCTTCAGGCCAACGTGTGAACCTATCAATTACGGTTAACAGATAACGATGGTTGCGTGACGGTGGCAATGGACCTACAATATCGACGTGTATATGTTCAAACCTACCCTTCGGAATATCAATTTTTGTCACTGGCGATTTTGTATGCCTAGTAATCTTCGATTTCTGACAACTTATACACTCCTTTGCCCAAACGTTTATTTCCTTGCACATGCCTGGCCAATAATACCTCTTACAAATCATCCGACGGGTA